AAGGCTTATAAAGAAATTTCCAGCCTGAAGGCTATATCTAACAATATAAAACAATGTAATAGAATTAACAATTAACACTGTACACTGTGCCCACATAGAAGTGAATCCACCTTAATGAGTTATTTTTACAGAATTTGAAGTTTACACAAAGAGTGCATATGAACTAAGCAGTTCATATTAAGGATGTTAAGGACTAGTCAACTAGCTGATTCGCATCCCTTGCTACTTCTATCAGGGTATGTCTACACTACCACCCTAGTTCGAACTAGGGTGGTTAATGTAGTCAATCAAAGTTGCAAATGAAGCCCGGAATTTAAATATCCCGGGCTTCATTTGCATCTTGCCGGGCACAGCCATTTTTAAATCCCCGGTAGTTCGGACTCCGTGCCCGTGGCTACACGCGGCACGAAGTAGGTAGTTCGAATTAGGCTTTCTAATTCGAACTACCGTTACTCCTCGTTCCATGTAGTGTACTCCTTCGTTCCACCAGTTGTGAGTATACTTAATAAAAGCATTAGAGTATAGTGCCTGGACTTCTGAGTACCAGGAGAAATGGATCTGAACTTTGAAGATCTCCAATAGTCTTACTGGCTTCCTAACAGATCCATTCTGTTTTCTTCAAGCTGATTCTCCAAGAAAAATGATGAACATGGTTCAACTAATATGAATAAATGGAAACATTCACTATTAGATGAACAGGATAATAAAAAAGTGTTTCAAAAGCTTATAAAGCTTATAAGTGGCAAAATAACCTTAAGGCCCCCCCGTCCAGCCAGAATGCCAGTTGAACTGACTGGGAATTTCAACAAGTGGAATCATTGCACAGATGTGACAAGGGAATGAGGAGTAACGGTAGTTCGAACTAGGAAGCCTAGTTCGAACTACCTAGTTCATGCCGCGTGTAGCCACGCGGCACGGGGTTGCCCAAGGACCAGTCTAGTTCCTGGTCTCTTGGGGTATGTCTACACTACCCTCCTATTTCGAAATAGGAGGGTAGTGTAGACATACCCCAAGAGACCAGGAACTAGACTGGTCCTTGGGCAGCCCCAGGATGAAGGAGTTGACCTAAAAGTGGTTTAAAGTAGTGCTGGTCTAAAAATCATGAAAATAACATGATTTTTGTTAAATGGGCAAACAAACTCAAAGAAGTTTAGCAGAACTTTTCATTACATTCTCCATTTGTCAATTAACATAAAAATTTGACAAAAAAATTTAACCTGCACTAGCTTAAAGCCACTTAACCTCACCCTTTTCTAGTCCTGGTTTAAGAAGAACTCAGCTGGACCAGAGAAGCCAGTCCAATATATTTGATACATAAGAAAAACTAAGAGATCACTGTAAATCAGAGAACATGTCTTCCAGAATACTTCAGTGGGTTTTGGATCAGGCACTAAATTCCCATGAGAAGAAGAAAAGCAGGTATTGTGTGTATGTGTGTGCGTTTAAAAATATATTAAATTTTTACTAAGTGCTAACACTGGCTCATCAGTGCCATTTACAGGTCAGTATTTAAGCAGGGTTTCTAGCCTTAAGATGTACAGACAAGTTACTGCCTCACTTTCTCTAGAATACATGTATACATCCCTCCTGCTACCCCCTTTATATATCATCACTTATCCTATTAGGCTGGAAATTCCTTAAAGAGGACACCAGGTATTCATATATTGTTTGTACAGCACCAAACATGAAAGAGTCTGTTTCTGATTGGGACTTCTGCATGCTACCATGATATAATTATTAATTAATAACAATTTCTCCTTCACAACTATTATGAAGACAATGGAAGCTCAGTAGTGGATTCAATGACATTTCATGAAATATTTGATATCACATGGCAAACTTTAAAAAATATATTTTTCGATATTACTGTTCATAATGGCGCTGATCCCATAAAGCACTTAAAGAGAATGTATCAGATTTTGCTCACATGAGTACTCCCACGTGATCAAAGTTATGCATATGCTTTGAAGAAGTGGAGCCATACATTTATTCTTTAACTCACTTCCTCCCTATAGTTCTGTTATAGAATTATTTGCATATAATGTGTTTTCTTCTGCAGAGCTCATTTGCTCTGTTTGGTGATATCTCAGTACGATATATCTGTCTCATCACACTAGCTTTTAAAAGCACAACTAGTACGATGCCAGAAATGAAATTCCAATTTAAAATGAGGAATGAGCAGAAGCAGGAGGTCTCAAAGCCAAAGCTTCTGGATTTATATAATAATCTTTAATAAAAATTGAATGAAGGTAGAAAGAAAACACATGAGCCAGTGAGAACTGTCAGCAAGAAAAGTTTTCCATTAAGTCTCTGAGTTTTTATTTTAATAAGTTGTCAATTTAAGACATGGCAAAAGGAAATGTTATAATTTGTATGTAGTATTAAACAATTTTTCTAAATTCCTTGTTTGAATAAAATATTCATCTTATTTAAACCTACACCAAGGAAGCTGAGTATTGCACATGCTAATCTATCCTAATTCTCCCATTGTGTTTAGTTATCTGTCACACAACAGCATACAATATTCTGAAACTTCTGAATTACCTTGGGAGAAAAGGTGAATTATGACAAAATGTCATCCTTACTCATACAGAATTGATTTGCTTTAATTAGTTAATCAGATTGTTGATCTTATTTAAGTGCAAGTCCATTCAATGGACTTGTTTCCAGACAAAGTTTGCTATATTTTTTCCTTCACACAAATGGTTAGCATCCATTAATCCTTAGAACAACAAATATTTTTAAACAATCATAAAAAATGAAATATCAGATATATTTAAAGTTTAAACAAATTTAACAAGCCTAAGGATAGGATATCAAATACAAATATGATATCAATGTTTTAAATAACCATCAATATTTGTTAATACTGTATACATAGGAGTCAAATATAAGCTTTTACATACATATTTTTACTACTATTTGTTTTCCTTCTATGCTGTATTTCATTTTAGCATTAGGTTTATTTTTAATAACTGTTAACCATAATCCATAATTACAACCAAAAGAACAGAGAAGATTCAAGAGACATACCATGCATTTGACAACTTAATCCTTCTAGATGTTCTCTACTGTGATGTGTTCCAGTTTAAAAGCTAAAAATGGTCTAATTGTTTCACTTCCTAGAGCATCCCCTTTCAAAAGTAGCAATCCCCTTATTTAACAGATAACATGTGTTCTTGCTATTGATGTTACAATTTCTTCTCCCCACCTCCCCACATTAAAGCAGGAATATTTAGAATGCAGATTCTCTATTCTTTGAGATCTCTCTTTAGTGGGTTCTAAAGGAGGTGGGATGGGATTCAAATGCTTCACCAGACCACTGACTGGCAGGCAGGCTAGTTGGCTGGCTGTGGATTGAAAATGGGCCGTATGGTTGAAATTGATTTGAACTGTCAGATGATTGCTTTGCTTCTCCTTCTGCTCTGGGGGACAATGTCTGCAGGGCTTGAATAGAAGTTGGTCCAATAAAATATATTAATCATCCACCTTATATCTACCTGGTATCACTAGAGACCTTTTTGGCAGGGAATGGGAATTCCTGCCTTAAAAAATGGTTGAAGAAGATCTATTCGAAGCAGGAAACGGCATGATCAAAAGCCGGGAAGAGAAGAAATTGGCCTGCTGATTGTAAAATGGGAGACAAGCAACTCAGTCTGTAGAGCTCTTGTTGCAGACTGCACTCAGTGAAACTCTCTTACAGACTCTTTGGTTTATGGAGGCCAAAGTGAGGCACAGGAAATTCCGAAGTTATCATGATGATATCACAACAGCTCAAGCAATTGTTCTCAGGTGTACTCTTGAGCCTATTTACCATTCTCAATTTAGAAACTTCTGGCAAGTCCATTTGAGGCCAGGTTATGTGCACAAGAGATGCTGCCCTCACATTTGATCAAGGAATGAAACAATATGGTGGCATTTTCAGTCTAATCAATATCCCTTCAGAGAAGAAACAGTCACTAACAGCATAAAATGTCTGTGAGAAGTTTGCTGGAAATAAAATCCAGCCAAGTCACTGATCAGAGGGGAATAGTGGACTGCTAGAGAAGTGCCAACATTGGCCTAACTCTGCTTCTGGTGTAGACAATTAGGCTACGTCTATACTACGAGTTTTGCCAGAAGAGGCAATGCAAATGAAGTGAGGAGTGCACTTGTAAAACCCATTATATAACTTTTATATTTTCTGTTGAATTTTCTCATTTATACCCTCAGCACAAAGATGAATGCTTTTTGATTGCTCAATATAATGTTTTAATTGTATGAGCATGGAGAAAAAATGTTTTATTTTTCATTTAAAGATGCTTATCATATACTCCTTTTGAATTCACAGAATAGTTTGTTTAAAAAAGAGGCTGTCTTCAGGAATGGGTAACTGGAAAAAAAAATACCCTGAGAAATGAAGTAAACTAGTATGGTATTATTTTGTGCATTCAAACCAGTACAAAAATAGTGTCTGAAATAGATAAGGGTGTATAAAAGGCCTAAAACTTTTCGCTGAATACTATCATTCTTAGTATTCTATGCTACTGCTTTGTATTTTTTTTCCATGCATTGTTTTGTTGCTTGCATAAAATATTTTATGAAATCTGTACCAGCTGGTTTCCTGCAGTTCCACCTCTAGCCCACAGCATGGTGAGCAGCTCCCCATTTGGTTGAAAGGATATTTCACCTCCCTTCTTTACATAGAGTTTCAAAAGCACACAATCATTTAAACCACCACTCCCAAAATTAACACTATTTAGGGCCAATTATGGTCAGTGAAAAAATTCCCATTGATTTCAATGAGCTTTGGGTCAGGTCCACTGTAGACATTATCAATTCATCACTAGAAAAAATACATTAAAACTGAAATGTTTCATCATTTGAGATGTCCACACACAACCAAGGGCTTGGAGCCAATGTCTTCTCTTACGTCTACATGTTTTTTCAGAATTAAAAAAGAATTGCACAAACACATCCAAAGTACATAAATACATATAGAGGGAAACTCCTGTTCATACCTTCAAAGTAACTGACTTTAGCTGTCTGTCTCTTCCTTGGTGGTTTCACAGGGGGATGTTTATTTTCATTGTTTCTGAACAACGCCAGGCGCACAGCTGGATCTAGACGACAAGAACAAGTTAAAATCAGAGGTCAGATCTGTCTTGTTCATTCCTTAACCAATCATTCACCTTTTAGTCATTTAATAAAAGAAACAGAATCTCTCATGTACGTTTTACATTAACAAAAACAATTACATTACTTTTAAAATAAATTAATATAGATATACGAAGAAACAGAGATATTGACTTGTTTTATGTACTTATAAAAGGTTTCTAAATAATCCACCAATAAAAAAGCAAAACTACATTTTAAAAGGATATATATTTTAAGAAATATTTAGAACTTTTATTTTGAAAGTGGGGATCTCAATCATAAATATTAGGTAAACAAATAAGTAAATCCCAATGCCTACAACATAATAGATTGGTTCAAATAAAGGTGTTTCCACCTGAGCATAATGAAAATCACAAATATTTTATTATCTGAGCCTAAACTTGAGGAAGATAAATGAACTGAAAGTCCTTTAACATATTCTATCCTGTTCAAAGTAGAGATGGCCTCCAGCAGCCTGAGACAACCTGCTCTACATACCCAAGGATCAGGCTACATAGTCTTAGGCAGTTTTATAACTTATCAAAAATTGTTTGTAAGAGCCATAGGTCAACACAAACATTCCCACAACAAAATAACTTACTATTAGGGCTATGTCTAGACTGTCGGCTTCTTTCAGAAGAAGCTTTTCCCGAAGAGTTCTGGAAAAACTTCTTCTGAAAGAGAGAGACCACACACAAAAGCGACCACACTGAATGGACGCTATCTCACATTTAAGCTGTGATTACTATGGATGGAGTGGCTTTCAGGACACCTATGTTTTTTCCTCTTTCCTCTTCTTTCGAAAGAACTCCCTTTTCCACGTCCACAGATGCCTTTTTCTGAAAGAGCTCTTTTGCAAAGAGGCTTCTTCCTCGTACAATGAGGATTACCAATGTTTGAAAAAAACCCTCTGTTCTTTTGGTTTTCTTTTGAAAGAACACAATTACAGTGTGGACATAACTCAAAGTTTTTTGGAAAAAAAGCTGTTTTTCAGAAAAAAACTCTGTAGTGTAGACATACCCTAACTAAGAAAAACAAAACAAATAAAGGACAACAGTTCAGAAGAAGGGATTTTTGCAGATTATTAATGATGGGAATGGAAGAGGAACTGCTCAAACAGGACAATTTAAAGGAGGTATATGAAGGAAAGTGAGTGCTTGAGGACAAGGAGAGAATCTCACATACAGGATGTAAAATGAAATAAGCCAAAATCAGGTATCTGGCAAAGGAGTTGAAGGGAGGGCTAGGAAGAACACAAGAACTGGAAGAAATGCACAGAAATGGTGGGAGGCATTATATAGGGTTTTGTAGGTGAGGATGGGAAACTTGAATCTGATGCTCATGGTGCTAACCATCTAGGATTGGCCTGGAGTCTCCAGGAATTAATTTTTAAATATTATGTCATGTGATTAAATCTCCAGGAATACATCTAACCAAAATTGGCAAACCTACCTGATGCAATAACAGTGTGAGACTCAAAAGAGGGATCCAAGGGGAAAGGTCATATTGTTATAGAAGGGACCAAGAAACTGTATCAGCAAATAGTTTTGGAATATAGGGGAAAGATTCTCTTAGGAAATGAAGAAAGAAACAAGACTGTTACAAAGCGATGGATTGATTTTTAGCAGTAACAAGGGTTTTAGCACTGGAGCCAATGAGGAAAGGATTGACTTGGAAGGGAATGAAGAGAAAAAGGAATAGAATTTAGCAAGGAAAAAATGAAGCAGACAGGGAGGGAAGATGGGAACTGCTGTTTTGGAGGTAGTCGGTATGTCAGACTAAATGTCAGTTTCTCCATAATGAGACAGCTACTGAGGGACTGAAGATGGGGAGAAGGAGGCTTCAGTGATGCTAAGGGAAAGGGGGCTTGGTCTATTCATGTTGGACCTTAACTCCTCTAAAGTCAAGGAGTACTTTTCCACTAACTTAAATGGCTGCAGAATAAGACTTTAGAGTAGAAAATTGATATGAGTCTCTTCAAGTCAGGTAAAAAGGATAGAGTAGCATGAAGGAGTCCTAGAAGTTCCAGGTCTTCCTAGGAGAAGATTCTCTTGGTGCAAGTACTCTAGACCCAGGATCCCATCACAAGTAAGCCCTAGAGTAGAGGACATGATAGGGGCATGGTTAGGAAGGGAGGGATGTGTGTCTGGGGATGGGGGAAGCTTTTTAAAAGCTTGCAATCATAGTGCAGTCTCTATTGAAAAAAACCAAACCTATATGGGTCAGACCATAGGTACATCTGTCCCAGGATCCTGTCTTACAACAGTGGCAAATGCCAGGTGCTCCAGAGGGAATGAACAGAACAGGTACAGGTTGCACCTCCCTCAACTAGGACTCTCTCATCCTGCAACATCTGTGATTGGGGAAGGGAGGCCTCCTGCTGCTGAGAGCTACACACATGGTGAGGCTGGTGGTAGTTGGGCAAAGACAGCCCAGAAACCCAGCTGGAGCCAGGGCAGCCCATGCATGCTGGCCCGGCACTGGGTTGTGTCACAGTAGCCCAAGAGGGGCTGTGCACTGGCCTGGCAGTGGGGACAGAGCCACGGCAGGCTGGCTAGCAGCAAGGTCAGGCTGTGGCAGCCCAGCGGAGGAAGCCCATCTGGTGCCATAGCAGCAGAGCCACCGCACTAGAGCTGGGGTTGTGACAACCCAGTTGGGCTGCGGCAGGCTAACAACCTGATCGGGACCACGTGCTGGCTGGCAGCAGGGCTGGTGCCGCAGCAGTGGGGCCAAGGCTGCATACTGCTGTATCAGCAGTGAGGCTGGAGCAGCAGGTATGTAAATGGGGCCAGCACAGCCATGTCGCCTGGCTGGCAGTGGGGCCAAATAAGCCGGTGGCGGGGAGGAGAGGCAGTCTGAGGGGCAGGGGATCTTCCCTGGTCCAGCAAATTTCCTCATCCAGGACCACTCAGGTGCCAGCGGTGCCGGACCAGTGAGGTCCAACCTGTAATCATCAAATGATCCATCTCTTGTCACCCATTCTCAGCTTCTGGGAAACAAAGACTAGGGACATTTTCCTTCCTGATCCTGACTAGTAGACATTGAGGGACCTATCATCCTTGAATTTATCTAGTTCTTTTTTGAACCCCATCATAATCTTTATCTTCACAACATCCTCTGGGAAAGAATTCCACAGGTTGGCAGTGCACAGTGACTCCAAGATATCTTTCTTGACTGGCAACAACCAATTTAGACCCAGACATTTTGTATGTATAGCTGGGATTATATTTTCCAATGTGCATTATTTTGCATTTGTCAACACTGAATTTTATCTGTCATTTTCTTGCCCAGTCACCCAGTTCTGATAGATTCTTCTGTCGCTCTTCACAGAAACCATGGGACTTCATTACCTTGACTAACTGTATGAAGGAACAGATTTATAATAATTCAATTCAGTCTGTAGTTCAGGAGGACTCTTGGATTTCTTGCTGATACTAAGTATTCATATAGTAGCATCTACTGTAATATTTTTTACCATATCTGATTGGCTAAGGGACTAAGAAAAATTGATCTCAATTAAACTTAAACTTCTAAAAAGCACTCAGATACTATGGTTATGAGCATGGTATAAAATGTAAATTGAAATAGCAGCCACAGCACAAAGAATTCAAGTGCTGCTGTGGCAGGGAGGAGGATGATAGCCATATCTCAGGTCTCCAAGGGCTGTGTACATCATGGTAATGACCTCCGCAACCTCTGTAGGAGCCAAGGATTGAGATGCCAAAAGAAAGTGTAAAGTCACTTTAGCCTGATTTCTTACCTGCCTGGCTGCTAACTTCATCTGCCTTTCTCTCAAGGTTAGCTCCATTCATTTGAATGCGACATTTTAGAAAGTACTAGATAACTAGATCGTATTTGTTGAGGAACCCGAATACTGCACTAATTTGTTAACTGTGGATATTTTACGAGTTAAGATGGAAGCTAGACAAGCTAAATATTTCTATTTTGGCAAATCACCAAAAACTTTATTAATATATCATTCTTAGTGTCAGCAAATGCTTACAGCACTAAGTCATACTGGTGTGCAGGTTCATAACTTATATATCAAACACAGTAACAGATAAGCAGTCCTTATTACAATATACAATACAATGTATCCTGCATTCCTTACTATAAGGAAGGAAAAATGTTACAACTGTATAACAGTGTATCCACCAGGCAAATATAATTTTAATTTCAAAGAGCCTTTTGTCTGTAACTTTAGTTAACAGAAAAGCGATATGAAATATAAAATTAGACTATAATGTAATTCATAACTGTATGTTCTATAGTTATATGAGATACATTACATACAGTACAACACAATGAGAAAAGTAGAAAAGGATGTTTTCTGTAATAATTGTTTCTCCAAACCTAAGCCTATACTGTCAATGAAAAATCAGACACCTCAGCATACTACTTTAGAACAATTTTATATATGGTAACTTTATTGAGAAGGGTAAAATAACAAGCTACTAAAATTGACTGATTAGAATTTCACAAAACAAAATGTGATAAAGGATTCCTAGATTTAATTTCTGATGTTCCAAATTATAATAAGTTGTTTTGCTTCTTGGGTTTATTGAACCTATTTTAATCTTGTTATGCGTACAGGTTTAAAAATGGAACTTTTTTACATTCAAACCTGCTTAACACAATCATGAAAAAAGAAGACCAATCCAATAGTACAGTGCATTAGAGCCATTTGGGTGAAATCACATAGAATGACTGTCACCAGAAGATTGTCAAAGTAAGTATTAAAGGAGATATGTATATTGGGAAGAAGGCTATGGAAACTGTTCTGAGAAATTTATGTCAGATAGTCTACCTTTGAACTCTGCAAAATAATTTAAATATTCCACTGAGATTCAATACAATGCCAGAGTACTTAAATATACCTACATGAATCACCTTAATTATTGCCTACAGCTCTTTTCATTTTAAAAACAGACCTTTTAAAATCTAGTCTCAAATTAAGGCAATATTA